GCTGTTTTAGGGTGAGGAGCGCAGCCTACCACAAAACAAAAGCCCTGGTAGGGTAGTGGTTATGCGTTGGGTTGCTAACCACAAGGACAGCAGTTTGAAACCACCAGCCTCTATGTGAGAAAAAGACAAGGCTTTCTGCTACCCCAGGGAGTAGTTCTACCCAGTCCTATAGTGTTGCTACGAGTCTGTAGCGACTTGATGGCAGTGAGTTTAAGTCTGGTCACAAAACAAAATGTCTAGAAATGATTGAATGGGAAGCCAATGGGTTCTAAATTTTCCTCCACATCACCATAATAATAAAAGAAGAATAAATCAATGACTGGAAGCTACATGAATCCTTAGGAGCAGTAGAAGCTTTATAAAGTTATACTGTACCAATTAATTATAATGTCTCTTTCACAAGAGAATTACCTAGTGATTAATTTTTTAAAAATTCTTTATTGAAGGGTACCATGAACGTGTTAAATGGAATTGTCATTACGTAGCTCGTGGCTTTATAGCATCCAGATACGCTAAAGGAGAGATTGGTCATGCTCATGTATATGACCCTTCAACTAGCTTGGCCAGTCTTTTCTGTATTCACCCAAATGCCCTGACCCTCTTACTGCCATTGAGTCAATGTTGACTCATAGTAACCCCCTGTGGAGCGGCTAATACTTTCCAACTGCTGACCATGAGGATTGCAGCCCAGCGTGTAACCATTACACCACCAGGGCTCCCATTACCCTGACCCTAGAACAGCGTTATTCAAGCTGGCTGCCTAGGTACTGTCACCCAACCACGTGGCAGGTAAGGAGAGGCCATGCTACTTTCCCTTCCATGGGGAAACCAAGCGCCACACTTGTTGAAACAGGCTTGACCAAATAGCCCATTACTGTCCAGTAGATTCCAACTCCTGGAGGGCCCACACATTACTGAAGAGAACCACTCCACAGGATTTTCTTGGCCAGAGTCTTTAAGAAAGAAGATGGCCAGCCTGTTTCTTTGGAGGTACAAGGTTTCTCTACAAGGTAGGTTCCAACCACCCACTTTTTGTTTAGGAACTGATCACAAACTGTGTCACCAAGGCTCACTGAAAGAGTCGTATTATTGTTGTTAGGTGCCATCGAGTTGGTTTCAAAGAGAACAACAGAACAAAACAGCGCCTGGTCCTGCACCAGCCTCACAGTTGTTCTTATGTTTAAACCCATTGTTGCACAGCCCACTGTGCTGCCAATCCATCTTGTCCAGGATCTTCCTCTTTTCTGCTGCTCCTCTACTTTAGTGAGCATGTTGTCCTTCTCCAGGGACTGGTCTCTCTTGATAACACGTCTAAAGTATGTGCCATGAAGTCTTGCCATCCTCGCCTCCAAGGAGCACTCTAGCTGTCCTTCTTCCAAGACAGATTTGTTTGTTCTTTTGACAGTCCACGTTGCTTTCAATATTCTTCACCAGCACCTTAATTCAAAGACATTGATCCTTGTGTGCTCTTCCTTATTCCATGTCTAACTGTCATATGCATATGAGGCAATGGAAAAGTCTATGGCCATCCCCTTACAACAGGGTCATCAAACTTTTTAAACAGGGGGCCAGTTCATTGTCCCTCAGACCTGTTGGAGGGCGGGACTATAGTTTAAAAAAAACTATGAACAAATTCCTATGTACACTGCACATATCTTATTTTTAAGTTTAAAAAAACAAACAAACGGGGCAAAAACACCCGGCAGGCGGGATAAATGTCCTCAGCGGGCAGCATGTGGCTCGCGGGCCATACTTTGGAGACCCCTGCCTTACAGAAAGGTCGCAGAGAGGAGACGAACCAGTCAGGGTGCAGTGTAGCAAAGATGAAACATACAACTTTCCTCTAGTTCTTTTTTAAAACATTTTTATTTTTTAATTTAATTTAATTTTTTATTTTTTTCCCTCAAGTTCTTTAATGCTTCCTCCCCCCACTATCATGATCCCAATTCTACCTTACAAATCCAGTTAGACCAGAGGATGTACACTGGTACAGATAGAACTGGAAACACAGGGAATCCAGGACAGATGATCCCTTCAGGACCAGTGGTGAGAATGGCGATAATGAGGGGGTGGAGGGAAGGTGAAGTAGAAAAAGGGAACCGATTACAAGAATCTACATAAAACCTCCTCCCTGGGGGATGGGCAACAGAAAAGTGGGTGAAGGGAGATGTCAGACAGTGTAAGATATGATAAAATAATAATAATTTATAAATTATCAAGGGTTCATGAGGGAGGAGTGGTGGGGAGGAAGGGGAAAAATGAGCTGATATCAACGGCTCAAGTAGAAAGCAAATGTTTTGAGAATGATGAGTGCAACAAATGTACAGATGTATGGATTGTGATAAGAGTTGTACGGGCTCCCAATAAAATGATTTTAAAAAAAAAGAAAAGTCCATGGCTTGGATCAGGTGCATCTTAGTCCTCAAAGTAATATTCTTGCTCTTCAACACTCTACAGAGGTCTTGCGTAGCAAATTGACGCAAAGCAGTACATCATTTGACCTCTTGACTGCTGGTTCCATGAGCATTGCTTGTGCATCAAGGGGGACAAAATCATCAACAACTTACCATTTTCTCTGTTTACCATGTTACCATGCTGTTACCTATTGATTCAGTTGTGAGGATTTGGGTCTTCTTTACATTGAGTGGTAATCCATACTGAAGACTGCTTTCCTTGATCTTCATCAGCAAGTGCCTCAAGTCCTCCTCACTTGCAGCCAACAAGTTTGTGTCGTCTGCATATTGAAGGTTGCTAATAAGCTTTCCTCCAGCCTTCTTTGTATAATCCAGCTTCTCTGATGAGGTGCTCAGCACACAGAGTGAATAAGGATGATCAGAGGATGCAGCCTTGATGCAGCCCGAGTGTACTCTTTAAAGTCCACCATAAAATCTAATCTCAAAAAAAAAATCTAATCTGAGGGGATTTCAAAAAGTCCATGGGTATAACGAGAATTGAAAAGATAATGGATTTTACCGCCCACAATTTGGGGGGGGGGTAAGGCTCCTCATATGTGGCCCTCAACCAGTTTTCCCACCCCCATCTCAAACTTCTAAAGGATGAAAGTCTCTCAGATTAGTAGTATTGACTGGTTGTGACAGAGAACTGGGGATGGGTTACAGAAAGAAAGTATCAATGTGGGTTGTGGGTGAGGATTCTATCTTACCTAACCTACCCTCCACTTGCACACCCAACTAGCATAAACTCTCCAATTCTAATAGTCATTTACAACTGTTTTCGGCATTTGGTACTTCATTGTCAACCTGGAAGGAGCCCTGGTGTCGTAGTGGGTTATGCATTGGGCTGCTAAACATAAGGTCAGCAGATTGAGCCCACCGGCCACTCTATGGGAGAAAGGGGAGGCTATCTATCCCCATAAAAGGTTTACAGTTTCAGAATCCCAATGGGATCGTTCTGTTTGGTCCTCGATCGCAGTAGGTTTGGTTTGTTTGTTTTGAAAGGAGCTGTGGTGGTGCAGATGACTAAGCATTTGGGCTGCTAACTGGGAGATTGGTGGTTCAAACTCATCAGCTGTCCTGTGGGAGAAAGATGAGGCTGTCTGCTTCCATAAAGTTTTACAGTTTTGGAAACCCTAAGGAGCAGTTTTACCCTGTCCTACATTGTCACTATGAGTTGGAATCCACTCGGTAGCTTTGGGTTTAGTTTTGGGTACTAACTTGGACAAAGAGCCCTGGTGGTAAAGTGGTTAAGAATTTAAGAGTGTAGCTGCAAACCACAAGGTCAGTGGTTGAAACCTACCAGCTGCTCCGAAGAAGAAAGATGTGGCCGCAAGCTTTGGTGAGGATGACAGCCTTGGAAGCCCTATGAGGCCATTATATTCTGTCTTAAAGGTTGTTGAGTTGGAATTGAGCAACAGGTTTGGTTTGGGCTTTGATTCATCTGGAAGAACTTTTGTTTTGCCAGTGGACTTTCTCTAACTTAGTTACTGTCCATTCCTGTTGTCCAGACGGCACAATGGTTTTCTTTCTTTTTTTTTTGCACAATGATTTCTATGCTCTTGGGGATACTTATCTCTTTTGAATTTCTTGCGATGCTTGTTTCCTTTATTCTGAAAACCTTACATGTGTACACTCAGGCTACTGGAGGGGACTTGGGAGATAAAGAGTAACATCCACAAGTTGCAGTTGCTTTTGATGTAAGTAGGGCTGGAGAAGGAGCCCTGGTGGTATAGGGGCTATGTGAGTGGTTGTGAGCCACAAGGTCTGCAGGTTGAGACCACTAGCTGTTCTGCGGGAGAAAGGTGGGTAAAGAGTCACAGTCTTGGAAACCCACTGGGGCAGTTCTATCCTGTCTTCTAGGGTCGTTATGAATGGGGTCGATCCATGACCGTGAGTTTGTTTGTTTGTTTGTTTGTTTGTTTTGGAGAGGACTGGAGAAAGAAGCCTTACTGGTGCACTGGTTAAGAGTCCTACTGCTAGGTTGTTAGCCAAAAGGTCATTGGTTCAGAAGCACCGGGCGTTCCTCTGGTGAAAAATGAGGCTGTCAGTTTCCCTACAGATTTACAGCCTCAGAACCCCAAGGAGCTGCTCTACTCAGAGTCGCTGTGAATCAGAATGGAATGATCCGCACCTAGCAACAACAGCAGAGTCGAAGAGGCCCAGGGTAGACCTAATTGGGGTGAGCTGGTGTTGCTTCAGAGTCTCCCCATGTGTGGGTGGAGGCTAGTTCCCGCCCTCTCGGTCCCGTCGATACTACCCTCCGTCTTTGCTTAACTATGAATTCGAGGCAGCGCGCCACGCATTGGCGCTCGAACCCGACAGGGAGGCTGGCAGTGGCTTGGCAGGTGGGCATGGAGCAGGGAGCTGGGTGGGGGAGTGGGGCGGAGGCATCTTTGAGTGGCGTTGACAGTAGCTAGTAGCCGTTTGGGGCAGGGGTGGCAGGGGCGGGAGACCGATGCCCATTGACCAATGGAGGGCAAGCAACTACTGGAGCGACCTGGTGACGTAAGGAGCGTTCCATTTGGCCAGCGGTGGGCGGCTGCCACAGCTGGTTTAGGGCCCCGATCATTGGGGCCCCTTGACAGGAGGAGGCTGCCTCCAGGCTGGGGAGGACAAGTCTGCTGTCACCTTTGACGGCCACCAGGATCCCCTGGGACAGGCCACTTTCTGCCCTCTGTCCTTGGTCGAGTTCGGGCTCCCTCTTCAGGTAACGAGGGGACAGGGGCGGGGGGAGGCACTCTTGGGTTCTGCCGCGTGGCAGGGTACCCCCTGGGCTCCACCAGGATCAGGGGGCGTTGGCACTGCCCTTGCCAACTCTGCAGCCCCGAGCTTCCCGGACCAGGGTGCCTACACGTGGCGGCCGAGTGTGTGCGGGTGGCCGTGGCGTGCGTCCCAGCCTCCCTGGGCGGTGGTCCGCGGCTTGGCGGCGGCAGGGCGGGCCCACCTCGGCCGCGCCCGGCCCGGCCTCGGGCACCCCACGGCTCGGTCGTTGGGTGGCGGTGGAATCTGATCTTTGTTCTCTGAGGCCCTGCTCCCCTTCCTGATCTCTCTTCTCCCCGCTGGGCCGGTTGATCCAGAGGAGATTGTTTTCCAGGTTAGTTTCACACAAAGGAAGTGCTCTCTGCACCTCTGGGCCCCTTCCCCTGGTCCCAGCCCTCGCTGCCCGCTGGCCGCACGTCCTCCGGGAGCAGCCCTGCCCTCTCCCGCCCGGCCAGGCTCTCCAGTCGGCCGATGGTCCTCCATCGGACTGCAGGCTTCCGCCTCCTGGCCAGCGTGGGGCATATGGAGGCAGCGAAGAGAGGCGCGGGCACCACACCTGAGCAGTGACCGAGAAAAACCCGCCTGGTGAAACAGGAGGCTGAGTGGGGATAGTACTTAGGACCCCCTGGACGGTCCCAGAAAGCACCTTTAGGACTTTTTCTAGCTGATTCCGTTCCAGGCGCCCCCCCACCTCCGGCGCCCCTCCCGCTCTCCCATCGCTCTCCAACCGTTCCGTGCCCCTCCTGCTCAGTCAGTCTGTCACCTGCAGGTCTGTGATCTATCTGCTGGACTCCGGAAGTTCCCGAGGGTTTGATGAGTGGAAATCTGTTTTGAGGCAGTGCAGTGTGTGTCTGTGGAGACTGGGTTCTTAGCTCTGCCAGAGGGTGACCTGGCCCCTGGTGGTATTCACGTTTGAAGCAAAGAAGACCAAGTGGAGGGCGGGGGCCGCTCCTGGGGATGGCTCCTTAAAGATAGAAACTCTGTTATTGTCTTTGTGGTGGTTGTAAGCCAGCAAGTCGATTCCAACTCATAGCAACAGTGAGGGAAAGGGTGAAACCGTCCCCCCACCCCCACCCCCATCCCGTGGGGTTTCCTAGGCTATACTCTTTAGAGGAATTAATGGCCAGGGCTTTTCTTCCGTCGAACCGCTGCTGGTTTCGAACCACCCATCTTTCTTTCGCTTAGCAAGCAGCAGAGCTCCTAACCATTGAGTGGCTATTATTTGTAACTCAAAACTCACTGCCATGGAATTGATTCCAATTCTGACTCGCAGCGCCCCAACAGATAAAGTCGAACTGCCCCTGTGGATTTCTGGAGGCGTTCAATCTTTACAGGAGCCGGCAGCCTCCGCCATGGAACAGCTGGTGTCGAGCCCTCTTAGTGGTGACTAGAGAGCAGCGTGAGCTAGGAAGGAGCCTTGGGGTATAGTGGGCTACTCATTGGGCTGCTAACTTCAAGGTCAGCAGTTGGAAACCAGCAGCCACTCCTTGGAAGAATGATGCGTCTTTCTACTCCCATAAGGAGTCATGGTCTCGGAAATCCACAGGGGGCAGCTCTACTGTGCCCGCTAGGGTCAATGTGGGCTGGAATGGACTGGATGGCAGTGAGTTTTGGAGTTTGGGCATTCTAGTAGAACGTGCACTAGCCAGGCAGTCAGCAGACTGTCTTGTAAACCTCAGCCTTTCCACGGTGTGTGACCGTGGACACGTTATTCTCTCTTTCTAGTGTTCTGGCTACTCACCGAAGAGACCATCACCTATACAATCCCTTCCCGTTTCAAGGTTCTATGATGATCCAGATGTCCAGTGATTACATTGGAAGCAGAGAGTTTTGTTTGAAAAGAAAGACTGATCCTTTTCTGTGATAGGAAAGGGTGGATTTTTTTCTCCCTTTAGAGACAAGCCCAGATGGGAAAGAAACTTCTCCCACCCCCACCTGGGTTGTCCATCTTTGGGAAAGGAAGGTTGAAAGGGTGCTTTCTGATTCCTGGCTCATTTTTCTCTTCTTCTTGTGCTTTTTCCTCAGAGCGAGAACGTGGACTCTTGATGATGTTGGACGTAGCCGCAGCAATCGCCGGCAACGTGACTTCCAAGCTGGGTGCAGCCTGTGTTTGTTCTGTCTTGTGAACTCCAAGCTCCTTCTGGACCAGGATTTCAATCATGTCTGTGATGGTGGTGAGAAAGAAGGTGACGCGGAAATGGGAGAAGCTCCCTGGCAGGAACACCTTCTGCTGTGATGGCCGGGTCATGATGGCTCGACAGAAGGGCATTTTCTACCTGACCCTCTTCCTCATCCTGGGGACATGCACACTCTTCTTTGCCTTTGAGTGAGTTGCCATTGGGGAGGGTTGCTGGATGGTGGCTACTTTGGGTCCAGGGGGAGAACTTTTTTCTTCTACTTCTGAGGTGTTTATGGCTGGCTTTCGTTGCCGTCTTGAGCAGCGCCTATAGCTCATGCCAACTGTACCTTATTGTGTCCAACAAAAACTTGGTCCTTCCTCCAATGAGTAAGATCTTGAGACCAATTGTCTAGCTCTGATTTGGCACTATCTCTCACAAACTTGGGAAATAAGAGTGTTTTGCCTATATATTCTATGATGGGGTTTCAGAAGTTTGTGGAAAATGGAAGTCAGAGATAATGGAATTTTTCCACAATGTTTTTTTTTTATTATTATTAAATACTTTCATTGGGGGCTCTTACATCTCTTATCACAATCCATACATTCATCCATTGTGTTAAGCACATTTGTACATACGTTACCATCATCATTTTCAAAGCATTTTCTTTCTACTTGAGCCCTTGGTATCAGCTCCTCATCTCCACCCCCAACCTCACTTCCCTCTCCTGCCCTCCCTCCCTCATGAACCCTTGATAAGTTATAGATGATAATTTTCATATCTTACATTGTCCTCTTTCACCCTTTACCCACTTTTCTGTTGTTTGTCCCCTTCCACAATGTTTGTGAAGCCCCCTCTTTTTTTTGTAGACCTCCCTTTTCGGTTCATCTTTATTTCCCCTCTGGTCTCCTCCAGAGCTTAGTGTTAAATGACCTCTTCCTTATCGCCCACAAACCAAGACCTCGCTGTCATACTTCCACCCAACTCTACTGACAAGTTCTGTTACTCTACTCTGTGTTTCACTTCAAGGCTCAGCTCTTAGCTAGCTGTTGGATTGAAAAGCCAGCTCCATTGGGAACTACAGACTGGGGTGTCTGCCGTGGCTGTGCCACAAACTTGCTCTGTGCCTAACACATAGGGACTTATTCAATGTGAAGTGCTCTTTCTTTCTGTTGGAATTGCTCACCAGAAACAGCCCTCTATTCTCTGTGTGTCTGATACTGGCCGGGGAGTTCTTTTTTCCATGAAGTAATGCCTAGTACTAGAGTGACTGTTGGAAGGCCGGTAGGTCACTTCTCAGGGGAGGTGGCCAGTTTGGAGCTAGGGTACTGTGGCATGATCGTGGCATGTACTGAGAATTCCATGTACTCTAGAGATGAAAGTAATGCTGATGACTGGGAGGAGGGCCTTGGGGAGCCATAAGGTGTGTGTGTGTGTAGACTGTACGCCATGGCTGATATCAGCCTGCTATTATCCATGTACACAGGTGACTTGGAAATGGGGTTCTCATGCTGAGGTGTGGCCATGGCAGGTAGGAGGGGCATGCTGAGGTGTGGCCATGGCAGGTAGGAGGGGGTCATTTGGCCAGCCTTTGTGGGTAATTAGAATGAACTCTGATCCAAGGGAGTTCATGCTTGTCCTCCCTCTGTGTCTTAGGATTCCAATGCTGCTGCGAGGGTTCCAGCTATACATGTGTGGCTTCATTCCAAACAAAGAATGCTTAGCTATGTCTCCGCCTCAGTGCATGGTAGCAGGCAGGTTCTCTCATGCACTTGCCTAAGGCTCCTTAGGGTCCCCTCAAAAAAACAGGTCCATGGAACACAGTGGCTTCTGAGGAGGTCAGCTGGGCCTTTTTAAAGCAGAGAAGTCAGCTCAGAAGGTATGGTGACTGTTTTTTGTTTTGTTTTTTAATTCCAGAGGGGCAATCTGGATAGATTTTTCTGAAAGAACACAAAATGATCATGGGGCTTATTATGAAGAAATGTTAAGAACATCCAAAACTGTATTGGTGAGGGGGCAAAAAAAGTCCAGCAAAGTTGTGAAGAGGAATTTTTTTTTCCTGTCATGACAATGTACCTGTGCAGTCTTCAGGACTGTCCTACCAAGATTTCTTTGGCAAACCTTTCCCCATCTCCCTTACAGCCCTGATCTTGCCCCTTCAGACCTCTTTTTGATTCCCCCAACCCCAAGAACATTTCAAAGGTTCATGAATTGAGTCCCCCGACGATGCCAAAACTACTACCTTGACATGGTGTAAATCAAAGGGCACAGAATTCTTTGGGGGAAGGGCTAGAGAGATGGAGATACTGCCTTCAGAAGTGTATGTACCTAGAGGGGGGATATGCTGAGAAATATGCTTTATTCTCACATGTTTTAATCTTTTTTAAATCATTTTATTGGAGGTTCATACGACTCTTATCACAATCCATACATACATCAATTATATAAAGCACATTTGGACATTCGTTGCCCTCACCATTCTCAAAACATTTGCTCTCCACGTAAGCCCCTGGCCTCAGCGCCTCATTTCCCCCTCCCTGCCTGCTCCCCCTCCCTCATGAACCCTTGATAATTTAGAAATTATTATTTTGTCATATCTTACACTGTCGGACGTCTCCCTTCACCCACTTTTCTGTTCTCTGTCCCCCAGGGAGGAGGTTATATGTAGATCCCTGTAATCTGTTCCCCCTTTCTACCTCATGTTTATTCTGTTTTTGTTTTACATTAAAAATTTTTGATTTAATAAAAATTTCTATGGTTTTGTAGCAATATATTTTGACTTATCTTCATATAACAGAAATACCACAAGTGGATGGCTTTAGCCAACATCTTTATTCTCTCACAGTTTAGAAGGCTAGAAGTCCAAATTCAGGGAAGGTTTTCTCTCCCTGTTAGCTCTGGCATTCCTTGGAGATCTCGATATGTCCTTGGAATCAATCTTCCTCTGAGTTTGGGAGGTTCCCACTACAGGGACCCTGGGTCCAAAGGGTGCACTTTGCTTCCAGCTCTTCTTTCTTGGTGATCCTGAAGCCTTTCCTCTGCTGACATCTTTCTTCTTATCTCTTGTCAATTAAAAGGTGATACTGGCTGAATCCGAGGGAAACACCCCTTAGATCAGGGGTTTGACCTAAGTAAGGTGCTGCATCCCACTCTAATCCTCCTACAACGAATCATATCATATCATACATAACTGCCAAATTATATCATTACCTAACTGCCAAACCATTGAGCATCAAGAACCAGTCAAATTGACACTTTGGCTGGGGGGGGGGGGGGCTGGGCGCAATTTGATCCATGACCCTTTGTAAGGCTGTCAGGCTTTTCCAGGGCAGCAAGAGAGAATTTGGGAGGAGCTCTTTGGACCAAGCCCTTTGGCTGCTGTTGATGATTTTGTGAAGCCTTTGGCCAAGTCAGGCAGGTTGTCGAGGGCTTCATAGCTGTCCTCAAGTCTGAATTTCACTGCCGAGAGTTGTGCACGTGTACTTGTGTGTGGTACAAGTGAGCTCATGCAGTCAAGCAGGCAGATGCCTAACATTTAAAACAGCCCCCCACCCCGCCTCCACCCCTTTTCCTCCAAGTTTGCTTTGCTTTGTGCCTGCCTTGCCTCTCTCAGAATTACAGAGCCGAACCCTGCTCTCTGTCATTCTCCCTCACTGCTGAATCACTAGTTCTTTTTGTCTCCCCCCCCACCAACCCTGATGGTTAAATTTTTATGATTGGAACCATTGAAAACAAGGATGAGACTTGTTTCCAGGCCCTGAGCAAGTTGGACGTTCTGGGCCTTGGAAACCTGTGGTTTGACAGGCAATGGCAATGTGAAATTGGGAGCTGTTGGCAGTTGGCGCTCTTCGTAGCTGGGTGCCAGAAGAGAGTCTGATTTGGATCTGGTCCCTTTAGGGCCCTGAAGAAAATCGCCAGTGGAATGAAGCATATCATTAGCCGAGTTACTGTTGGACAGAGGCAGGCTGAATCTTCTACTAAGACAGCACCCTCCCACCACCACCACCAAGTTATTTTTTCACACTTGCCCCTCAGGGATGAAAGGTGAAATTGTTTGTAAATTGCCCTGACTTCCAAATTGTCCGTGTGCAAGAGAAAATAGTTTTGAAGATAGGCCTTGGGGGAGGAGTGTGGGAAGAAGAGGCAGGCAAGAAAGAAGTTGCTATGTTCTCTGAGGAATGGAATGGGGAAATAGAAATCCGAGCAAAGTGGAGAGGACTCTGGTGCTGAAGGCTTTTGACGAGCTGGCGGAATCCCAGTCTGTGAGCATGCCTGTGTGTGTATGTGTCTATAGTTGTGTTGCCACATGGACACCCTGGGGTGGGGCCCCTTCTGCTTAGCCAGTGACAGGCCAGACCAGGGATAGCAGCATGCCGCTAAGAGCTTAAGTCTCTGTCTGGGCACACGGTCAGGAGGTGGGAGTTGGGGGCTAGAGTTTGGGGTCAGGAGGTAGGAGTTGGGGGCTAGAGTTTGGGCCCCACGTTAGTGAGGTTTCTGTAAACCTTGCCTTCAGGCTGGTTATGTGACCTAACTCTCAGGGGCAATTGACTGCTACATTTTGGTGGAGTAGGAAGGTGGTTCTGCATTTTGGGGAACAGGGTTCTGCTTGTATCAGGTGCTTATGGACAATTGTGAAGTGACTTACAGTTTCCCGTCAGCCAGGTGGCTTTCGAGGCCTGATCCGGCATGTGGGGTCACCTTAACTGCCATGGCAGCAGTTCTGGGCTAGTGCCTTTGACTTTAGGATTTCACCTTTCAGGAGTCTAGACTTTTTAAGGGAGTGACTTTGTAATTCTCCATGGGGAGACAAAACAAAACAGAAGGCTGTCCATCCAGGAGCCAGTTAGCACCTGGCCAGTGCTAGCAGGCTTGCAGAAGAAGCTGGGTGGCTGTCTGCTCAAGGTGGCTGTCAAAGAGCAGAAAGGGAGCTTGAGTATCACTGAAGCCTCTTACACCTCTGAGAGGCGATGAGATCCCGCAGACTCGAAACTCTGTCTGCCTCTGGAAGACTTCAACCCCATGAGCTCCCACCTCTTTCCTGCTCCCGCCCCTCACCCCCATGCAAAAAAAAAAAAAGGAAAGGAAGGCAGAAAGACAACAGAGAGAGTATGGAAGGTTATCATTAAGTAGCTCAATGTATTTGAATTAAAAGTAGAGTGAAAGTGTTATCAGTTCACTGCCATCGAGTCAATTGCTACTCATAGCAACC